GGATGATGACAAGGTTCCAACCCTTGATGTCTTTTACTTGTGGAGTATTATTACACCGGATGTGTTTTGCAACATCCCTTACTGTTTGTCAAAATACTTGGGGGAAGGGGCGGTTAAAGACATAATCACGTCCAAAATCAACGGTGGAATGTTTGTGACCCGGTTGGCGAGGTCGTATGGTATCTTGGAAAGGGGGGACGAAAACTTTTTAACAATGGTACCCACACCACCTTTTAGCATCACACTATATAGGAGGGCAAGAATCATAGAAGACTATGGTGGGGGACACATTGGTATTCCGAATGAGGATGAGGTTTTGGTACCCGAGGAGCCGGGACAGAGGGTGAGGCCACGAAGAGAACATGTACGATATAGGAACCACCGGTAATCCCGGTCGATGACGAAATCCCAATGGATTGGTACAATATGGAAATCCGTAGGTACCAAGATAACCTCGGGCGAAGCATGAACTATCAAAATGAGTCATTCGTTCACTTGTTCGATCAAATGAATCTTTCGCCAAGAGATGGACCGGGGTACCCTTATGTGCAAAGCTGGGATGAGCGGATTAGTCAACACTAAAATCAAGCCGGAGGAAGCGGAGTTGGAGGAGATGAAGATGAAGATTGATATCTTTTGATTTTTATTTGTTTGGTTTGGTTTACGACAATTTTTTTTTTGTTTTTTTTTGTGATGTTTAAACTCTTAGTAGTTAGGATTAAGTAGGAATTTTTATTGTTTTCCTTTCCTATCATTTTTGTTTTGATTTTGATCTTTTCAGTTGAGGTTAAGGGATGCATGCAAGGGTCTAGAGTCAAGGCTAACCAAGTGAAAAATCGAGTCTAGGCAAGAGAGAAAACGAAGTTTTGAGTCACGTGATGAGTCCGATTGAGAGAGGAGTTATTAAGTGATTATTTACTGAAGCAAAATGAGGGAAAATATTAGTTCAATATTCCCCACATACATCAGAAATGGACCTGGGCAGAATACATTTTTTTCACTCAGCGGTCTACTCGCCGAGTGCACTTTATGGACTCGAAGAGTCCAAGTTAAAATCCACGACTTTTCTGCCAATTACACTACAACTCGGCGAGTTCCCATACTTACTCGACGAGTTGCTCATTCTTCTACTATCAAGCTGATGATTTGATGACATTTGACACGGCCATTGGTTGTATTCTTTGAGGATCATTTACCGAGCATTTTCCGAGACTTTTCCTGCATAATTGGAGCTATACCACACAAAACGAATGATACCCAAGGCATGAAATGAGTTGTTCCCATGTCTAAATTCAATTGAAGATAGAGCTTCAAATGAAGAACATCAACCTCGTGACTACTATCCCAGGGGAGTTTGTTCCAATTCCCTCTTTACTTTGTCATTTTCTTTATCATGCATAATATGCAATGAGGGCATTGCATAAATTAAGTGTGAGGTAGGGGGTTGATCATATTAGTTACATTAGAATCCTAATTTAGGTATAATTTTGAAATTTTTGCATTAAAATTTTCTAGGATTAATTTAGAAAATTTTGGTAAAGCAATTAGGACTCCATGTTAGTATTATGTTTGATGATTGCACGAAGACCCAAATGTTTAGTTGAGCCTATATACGTTATAATGCATTTGTGGCCTCCTTTATTCTAGTGAAATCATGGGACAAAAACACAACCTCGCTTAGTTTGAGGGATGCAATATGTTTAGCATCGTGTACCTGAATTGTATCCAGGAAAATTAATATCTTTAACCAATAAAGGTTGAAGTTGAGCGCCCCTGCTTAAGCATGTAGGTTTTGAGTGAAAAAAAAAGTGAGTTACATGTGAAAAAAAAGAGAGAGAGAATTACAAGAAAAGTTGTAAGAATTTTGGAGCAATCAAAGTGAAGATCAAAAGATCAAAGTTCCAAAGATTCAAAAAGTTGAAGATACCAAAAATCAATCAAAAAGGTGGTGAATTTAAAGAAAATCAAGATCAAATTATCAAAGAAATGAAGAATTCTAAAGAGCTCCATAGTGGTATCACAAGTTGTAATTGTCTAGATTATGTATGCTTGAGTTGCTCAACCAAAAATACCTTGAAGTTAGAAAGTTTTCTGCGGATGGATTCGGAGGGATGCATAAGATGAGCATTGTTCAAAAGAAGTGGGCGAGTGTTTATGAGGATTGTTAGTATTTAGAACTGAGGGGGTCCTTAGGAAAAATTTTAGACACAAATGCATGCGTTGCGGTCTTGGCATAATGGATGAGTTGGATTGGGATTGTTTTATGTGATGCTAGTATGTTTAAAATTCAGTTTTGCTTGGGGGCAAGCAAAAGTCAAGTGTAGGGTATTTTGCTATGTGTATATTTAGCTATATATTTCGATTAGAATTTTATTACTTTTTGGCTAATTTATTGCAATTTATGGAAAAAAGGTACTTATTTATGTTTAAATTGTATTTTCAGTCCAAAAGATGTGCTCGGAAGCAAAAGGAAGCGGGAAATGCAATCGGGAACTCGGGAATTAAAGAAAGAAGAAAAAATAATCAAAATCCTGAAGGACTCGGCGAGTTGGATGTCTAGTCGACGAGTCCACACGGATGTTCGCGAAGCAAATACAAGTCCTTGCCGTACACAGATTTTTAATAGGGGACTCGGCGAGTCGGTTATCTACTCGGCGAGTAGCCCCTGTTTTCTGAAGTCTATAAATAGAAGCCAATTGTCGAGACAAAACCTCTCTCTGGAACCCTTGGGGATTAATTTGCGACAAAAGGTGCAAACTGGAGCTCTGGAATTCGTGGAGAAGACCCTAACCTTCGATTTTAAGGAGATTAAAGGCAATCTAAGTTTACTCTTTACTTTATCTCTTGTTTGAACCATGTGTGAACTACTAGATCTTGTTTTTGAGTTACTTTCTGCTGTAATCATGAGCTAGACCTTATATCTTCTGTTTAGGGTAGATGAATTTATGACCATGGTTTGATTTGTGGTTGGATTAATTGAATATTGGTGAGTTTTGTTTTATTAAGCTTGTTAAAGAACCTTATGCATTAACCACAACTATTTTCTGTTAATTAACAAGTAATTAAGCTGCATGAACATCTCTTAATTGCTTATCTCATATGATTTATGTGAACACATTGTTATGTGCCTAGGAATAGCGAACGTGAAACTAGGGTTAACTAGAAAATGGGTAAATTAATGTGTGCGCTTGTATGACAAACCATCAACAGGAGGTTAATTGAATTAGTAATTGGATTAGCTAACTACAAGTCTTATTTAACCCGAATAAATAAACTAGGAAATTTATTAGTTTAATCACTTGATCACTGCTTAAATTGATCTGTTTTCTAAGGATTGGTAATAGCGAATGTGAACCTAATCACCTTAATCGGTAGCCAATAAATTAATCCATTGCACTTGCCATAAAATCAACCATAGGAGTAAATGAATCGAACCTAAACAGAAGTCTTCTTATTATTGAATTTAGTTGGTTTTTACTTGCTTTAGTTGTTAGTTACTTAATTTGCGTGTTAGTTAATTGTTTAAGTTTCTAGTCTTGCAAAACTAGAGAAAACCTTTCACTTTTATTACTTGTTTTAGATAATTCTAGTCATTAGCTTAATTGCCGTTCCCAGTGTTCGATACCCTGCTTACTAAATTATACCACCAATTGACAGGTCCACTGCCTTTGTGTGTCTAAATTATATCTTAAAAGCAGGACTAAAACTAGTGCATTTATATACACATCAGTTAAACTTCACAAAAGACTAAGGTATCCCTTCTTGTCTTCATATGGCTTCAAGAGTTTATGGTGGACTTCAAGAGAATTCCTTGAATTCGATTTATATGCTTTGACAGTTTAATATTGTGTAATTGGAAGTATTTTCGTCATAATTCCAAGTTTATCATGATTAATCATAGTGGAGTACTTTAATTGGGGTTTAAAGAGCTCAAACCCTAAAATGGTGAAATGTTAGGAAAATGGAAATTGAGCTTTTGTTTTAATGAGTTAACCCAACTAGAAGAGATATACATGAAGCGTAATTATTTTTAATAATGAATGTTCACATTTAAAATTTGGTTATTAAATGAATGATCATTTTGATAGTAAATAGTAATTAAGCTCTTAATGTGTTAAGAAATGTTCTAAAGATTTTAATATGTTATACGAGTAGGTTGTGTCTATGAATTGGGTTAAAGGCATCAAGAGAAGGTTTTGGCGAAAAGTGAAAGTTAATAGTCACTAACTTCAAAGGTGAGTACATGTGGATTTTATGAGTACATAGCAAACTAGGTTTCTACATGAAAGTATTTGTAACTATGTATTTTGACGCTTGAATGTTTATGTTCTAAATGTTTGAGATTTAAATGATATTGCTAGTAATCTTAATATGAAAGTTTTATCGTACAATATGTTTATTAGTTAAATGGAATTGCTACTAGTGTTGAAATGAAAGGCATTCCATATGTTTGATGTTGATTGCTTAATAGTTGATGTTATTATGTGTAAAAGTTATTAAGGGGCTTCTGATTTTAGATTTTTTGGAGTGTAGATGGTTGTTTTCAAGTCGAATGATGGTTTTTGCAAGTAGAAGCATTTTTTGTGTATTATTTTGAATGAAACTTTATTTTATGTATTTTGCAATAGAAAATGACATAAAAGCCCTTAAGTTTTCACAAATATATCGGTTTTACCCATTGGACGTGATTTAGATCTAGTAAGGTTGTATGTTTTGTTTAATTTGTTCATTTATACATTTTTAATCGGTTTCCAGAAAGTAAAACCCTTGAGTTTTCAAAAATATTTGGATTTATCCTTAAGTTTTCAAAAATGTTCGGATTTACTCATTATTATTATTATTATTATTATTATATTAAAGATGAGTAGAGATGAATAGTGAACATGCTGGTCTTTTGGCAAAACTGGTCCTCAAGGTTTTCATATTTAGTGGTTCAGATTTTTGGCACTAAAATTTGTTATATCGGCTATTTAGTCCCCTTTAACAGTGTAAAGATAAAGATGGGCTCCGATACGTTTCATTCCCACGTCTCCGTCTTCGTCTCATTTATTCCACCGCTTCCAGATTCTTCTTCTCAATTACGCCCGAAAAAGCTTTCACCACCACCACCGCTCACTCTATCTTTCCTCTCTATTCCACCTATCGGCTGCTTCTTCTACATGAGTTAGGTGTTGGCAGTGGAGCTTGTGACGTGTTCTCCAGCCACGATGCACCGGCTTAAAGTTCCAATAGCATTGCTCCAGATACCCACCGCCTTCCTCTTACCGTTTCATCCCAATCGTCTTTTCTCCACCGCCTGCTCACCTGATATCGATGTCTCCACCGCTAACTTCCCACATACAGTTCATTTTTTTTTTTTTTTTTTGCTTTCCCCTCTCTCAGCTTTCCACAATTTCTCCTTTCTGATCCTTGATGTACTCCCGCTCCGACCACTACCGCCGACATACAACTTCAAGCTTTTTATTTTTCGATATCCGGATCCTTCTCCAAAGTTTCCTTCGGGATCCTGACGATTCAAAGGCGGTGGTATGCATCGGTTGTATGCATCTTTAAGATAACAAAAAAATCATATCAGATCCCGCTTCGATTACCGTTGATTTTCGTCTCTCACTGCCTTCGAGCATCCACTGCCGCCTTTGTAAGCAGCGCCTTCTTGCCCTTAGCATCACCAAACACAACTTGCGTGGATGATCCGCCGTAACGAACAGGTAAATCCCACCGACCTGCCTGCATCATCTTTTCGTTTGTAGACCCCTCATACTTCAGATGGTTCGTTATGTTACTGTTCTCGATTTTTGGTGGCCATATGAACTTAATTTGTATTTAGGGTTTATGCGTTAATTTTTCTATGCCTTTTTAGTACCGGTGCAGTTCTTGAGGATCGATGGTACTACCAAAGCCAGTGACAGATTAAAGATTGTTGATGTTAGTGACTTTTTTATTTTATTTTATTCAGTTTGAAAAAAATATGACTTTTATTAATAATTTATTAATAATAACAGGATTTTCAACAGGGTATTGGAGCTCCAATATTTCTTTTAACTTCTCAAGTTGGTGGTTTGGGACTCACCTTAACAAAAGCAGATCGGGTCATAGTAGTTGATCCAGTTTGGAATCCAAGGTTGGCTTTTTTTTTATACTTAATTTGTAACAAATCTTTTTTTATTATTAAAATATAAATATAAATATTCTGAAACAAAATATTTTTTTGTAGTACTGATCGTGCATATCGAATTGGACAAAAGAAAGATAAAATTGTATACCGTTTGATGACTTGTGGTACAGTTGAGGAAAAGATATATAGAAAACAGGTTAAAAAAATGATTTTATCTTCCAGGACATCTACGTCTTTTTACACCCAATAGTTATTTTTCTCTTTTCATATTTGATTTTTTTTAATAAAAATTTATGATGCAGATGTACAAAGGGGGTTTATTCAGAAGTGCTACTGAACACAAAGAGCAAATTCGGTATTATGGAAAATGATATATATATATATATATATATATATATATATATATATATATATATATATATATATTTTTATTTGTGTTTTGTTATTTCAGGATTTTAGGGAGCTTTTCAGTATCCCAAAACAGGGTTTTGATGTTTCTTTAACTCAACAACAGTTGCATGAAGAGCATGATTGTGAACACAAAATGTTTGTACTATGTAATTCATTCAAAATAAGGTTTTTTTTTAATGTGATTTGAATTATTAAATTTCTTCAAAACAATTTCTTTTGTTATAGGGATGCATCTCTTAAAGATCACACAAAGTTTTTTGAGTCTCTTGGTATAGCTGGAATTAGTAACCACAGTTTGCTTTTCTCAAAAACTGCTCCATTCCCTGTTGTGCAAGATGAAGAACTAACAAGGTGATATATCTATCCTTTTTATCCTTCAAGGGCATTTTAGTAAATTCACATTTTTGAATTTTTGTTTAAGTTCTCTGAATTGTTTTTTGGATTAGGCAATCAACTTATGTGGGAAACTCATCTTCTTACAACTCACGTGAACCAAACATGGATGCGTATGTCTTCTTAAAATCTCAATCTTCTTTTTACCTTAAAAAAGATATATTTTTATTTTATTTATTTTATTTTATATTTCATTTATAGGGGAGCTCAATTTGCTATCAATCCAAAGGATGTTGTCATTCTATATTGTTTTCAAAAAAGTTTTTTTTTGATTTGTTGGATTAAATTTCGTTGCGGTTTTTTTTTTTTTTTTTTTTTTTAAATTCATTTCAGTTTGTTTTTTGGGCCCATTTTATGACGTATTTGCTGTTATTGATTGTTTCAGGTTAAAAAGAACACAGAAGACCTAACACATCAACATGTAGATACTCGGTCAAAGGCCAGGTGTAAAAAGTGTCATAGTTAATGATTTTAAATTTTATATTATGAACTTTAATGGTGTTTTTTTGAATTTTGATTTGTTTTCAAGTTTGATAGTGTTGCAGCTGAGTCTAGATAGGGAATAAGAAGTGGCCATGTACCTGGGAGCAACTGCATTCCTTTTGCTCAGGTAACCATAAATTGTCTGTAAATGAGAGTATATACCTGATGTATGTGATGTTTTCTTTTTTATTTGTTAAAATTAGATTGATTATAAATGATACTTATTTTGTATTAATATTGATGATCTATTTTCCATTATGTAATTATGTTTGTAGCAAAACAGTAAAACAAAGTTGGCATGAAACCAACCTTGCTTTGGAAATTTTGGTCCATGAATCGTTAATCAAATCTACCCGCCTGTTAATAGCTTTAAATTGACCATTTTTCCAAGTGACACACTATATCTTCGGGTTTTGTCCCAAGGGCAGAATTTCTTTCGGTTTTGTCTCAAGGGCAGAATGGTCTTTTAGGGATTAAGGGACCAAAATCATTATGAAACATTAAAAAAAACGAAAAAATTACTACTATAGCTCTTTTTTTTTTTTTTTTTTTTTTTTTTTTTTTTTTTGCAAATTTCGTCTCTAAAGGTTTTCTTTTGCAATTTTGGTCTTTATTTTCTTTTGCAGTTTCCGTTCCATTTTTTGTTTTCATTTCTGGTCCTTAAAAAACTTTCTTTGCATTTTTGGTCCCAAAAAGTTTGTATTTTGAAATTCTGGTCCTCATTTGAAGTTTTTGTAAGTTCTTTTTTTTGTTATCTTCTAAGTAAAATGATGATATTACCCCTTTTTTTAATATTTGTTATTTAATTACCCTGATTTCAATAATAATAGAACTACATGATAAATAATAAAAAATAATATCAAAAAGTTAAATAAAGGGTGATATAGTCATTTTGTACATGGAAGGACAAACATTCTTATGATTCTCCAAAATAAGGAGCATATGTGTTTGCATGTTTGTGTTATTATAGGCTTACTAGCCTACTACTACAATCATTTGAGGCTTTTAGGTTAGTTTGGTCAAATATGAGCTTACTTTAATTTAATTTACTAATTATATTGATGATCTTTTTTTTTTCTTTTTTTTTCAGGTTTGGATCATATAATTAGGAAACCGGTAAAATATCTTCAACACCAAGGAGTGAGTGAAAAAGTCATACCATGCTAAATAGAAAACTATGCTGTGTAAATGAGCAAAGTCAATGCATAGTAACAAAGTAGGTTTCCAAAGTCAATTTGTAACATAATATTGTTATGCAGTAAACAGTAATGTACTTTCACCTTTCATTTTTTCCGTTTTTTGTATTTACTTTTTATTTTTTTTTCCAAATAACTAACTTCATTACCATTAGGCTCATCACCCATTCTTACGAGTTACATACACTAAATAACAACGTAGTTTGAATTTACATCTACTTTTTCCTTTTTTTTTGCAATTTCTTTTGGATGTCTTAAATTTGGTATTTCATCGTGTTTCGGGACTTTTGTTTGAAGCTGAAAGAAACATCAATAGACAAGTATTGAATGGACTTTATACTATAAATTCTAATTATGTCAAGTGTCCAGTATTGTTTCTTTGGTTATATCAATTAGTTATGATATTATACATTAACAATATAAATGATCGATTCTGTTACAAAGAAAAGAGCTTTACCACAGAATATTCACATTTGTTTATTTATTTATGTACTTAATTACATTCTTTATTTTCAAAGTAGTTAAACAAATACAATCCAGGTAGAAAAACAAAACCAAAACAACTAAACGACAATAAGGGACCATTCTTGTCAAAAAAGATGCAGGTTCACTACTACAAAAGGTGGCCGGCTAACATTTACAAAGAACACACAACGGAAAAAGTTGTCGCATCCGACCCCGCAACGCGGGGGTTTCCCACCTAGTTATTATTATTATTATTATTAAAATAATTATAATAAATGAACAAATTAAACAAAATATCCGGTTTTACTGGACCTAAAGTACGTCCAAAGGTAAAACCGATATTTTTATGAAAACTTAAGGACTTTTATGTCATTTTCCCTTATTTTTGCTTAACTTTTTCAGATTTTTTAAGTTTTAAGGCCTCATTTTTTTTTTGTAAAATTGAACAAGGCCTCTGAAATCTCGGAACCCTTCGTGATCAGTGGTGACCAAAGCCCAATACCACATGCATCACTAAATAAATATTCGTCTTCATAAGTCATAGATAAATGTTTAGGGTTAAGTATAATATCATTATTTATTCTTTGGTTAGTGGAAATACAAGTCAATTATCTAAATTCATGAAACTTATGTTAGTTCACACTTATTTATAATTTTTTTTGCAAATTATAAGAAAATAACATTGTTCTTAATATTGTCTTCTTATTCTTTGATTATTATTGTTATCATATTCTGTATTTTAATTCCACACTTCAAAGCTTTATTATCCAAACTTAAGATCATGAACTCAAGAGTTAATCCGAGGACCAATCCTGAAACAAACACCAAACGTAGATGCAAATATCCAACAACATCAAAATTTGACCTTAATTTGCAGATTCACTTATACCACACGATCATTCTTGTAATTTACTATTTTATTGTTAGGGAGGAGGGAGTCATTCCCTCCCAACCCACTGAACCCACTGCCACATCAGCTTTTTTCTTTCATTTTTCTTCATCTTTCCCAACCCACAACATAGGAAAATTCTATATTTCTCAACCCACTCTGATAAAAAAAATACAAAACAACTAAGGTACAAGTCTTAAAACACATGATATAAGAAAAAAATGAGAGAGAAAAAGTAGAGAGAGAGGATGAAGTGGGTTCGTGAAACCAAATTAAACAATCCCCTGAAGAGGGAGTGGTACCGACGGTAACTCTATTGCTATTTAAGATTTTATTTTGATTGTTTTGTACATTTTTTTTAATTGAGTGGGTTGAGAAAGATAGGATTTTCGTGTGTTGTGGGTTGGGAAGGATGAAGAAAAAGAAGAGACAAAAAGTGATGTGACAGTATGTTCGGTGGGTTGGGAGGGAATGACTCAATTAAAAAAAATACGGAAATCCTATCTTTCTCAACCCACTCAACCCACTCAATTAAAAAAAATACAAAACAACTAAGGTACAAGTTTTAAAACACATGGTACAAGAGAAAATGAGAGAGAGAAAGTAGAGAGAGATGATGAAGTGGGTTAGTGGAACCAATTAAACAACCCGCTGAAGCGGGAGTGTTACCGGCGGTAACTCTATTGCTAATTAAGATTTTACCTTGATTCTTTTATATTTTTTTTAATTGAATGAGTTGAGTGGGTTCAAAAGGGAGGAATGAGTCATTCCCTCCCAACCACCGAACCCATTGCCACATCACTTTTTCTCTTTTATTTTTCTTCATCTTTCCCAACCCACAATACACGGAAACCCTATCTTTTTGAACCCACTCAACCCATTCAATTAAAAAAAATAGAAAACAATCAAAAGGTAAAATCTTAATTAGCAATAGAGTTACCGGCGGTACCATTCCCGCTTCAACAGGTTTTTTAATTGGTTTCACTAACCCATTTCATCATCTCTCTCTACTTTCTCTCTCTCATTTTCTCTTGTACCATGTGTTTTAAAACTTGTACTTCAGTTGTTGTTTTTTTTAATTGAGTGGGTTGAATGAGTTGAGAAAGATATGATTTCCGTGTGTTGTGGGTTGGGAATGATGAAGAAAAAGAAGAGACAAAAATTGATGTGACAGTGGGTTCAGTGGGTTGGGAGGGAACAACTCCCTCCTACCTTATAGACCATAAGTGATATCGAGTTGTTAGTTAAGCATATGTTTGCGTGGTTTTGGAGTTGCATAATGTAGATACTTGATTTTTGAATAAAAGTAGTTTAAATAAAAAACTGGTGTATTGAAAAAATATTTCAATAATGTATGTTGTCTTTTACTTTTTCTTATGAATCTTTGGTTGTTAATTAAACATACTTTCTGTGGCTTATGAAGTGACAACATAAGACGTATATAAGATAAATGATTTTTTAAATCATGTCTACTTGTAGCACATGTTTTATGAACACAAAATGTTCCTTTTTCGATTGAAAGAACCATTTGATGAAAGTAAAATGGCCATTGTGCCTTTGTATACAAGTGATGTTGAATACAATGTATCTTTTCTGTAGTTGAATAGTTTATGTTTGTTTGGTCTATGGAGTTACATAAAGAAAACTTCCTAAACCACATGTCAAGAAAGTGCTTTAGGAAAGTGCATGTATCTTTTATTGTAAAAAACCGTCGTAATTTAAATAAAATAACAATTTTATCCTTTCATCATTTTTTTAGAAAAGTAAACATATACTCATAAATCTAATCTTAAACTACTCTTTAAATCCATTTATGTTCCAGACAGACTCAAACCCTCAAACTTTTAGAGGGAGGTCAGCTGGTATCCTTGTATCTAGAATTGATGGTGTATACCTTGGTTGATAAAACATGATTTTTTTTTTTTTTTGACAAAAATCGCTTTTATTGATTATTCACTATGCCTATACAAATATAAAGAACCACAAATAACAAATTGTCTTCTTTCTATTCTACATGTCTACAACAATTAAAAAAAAACAAGAAAAAAAAATTAGGATTCGTCCTCGCCCTCTATCATATCACGAACCTCACTAACAACCAAATACGCTTTGTGACCTCCAATCACCTCTCCATGTTTCTTGCTATCCTTCCAAAGCTGTAAATATCATACCAAAAATCTATTAACTTTACACAAATTTTATAAATTTAATACCAAATTATTCTATGTACCTGTATTGTTGGCATTTTCTACATATTTTGAGGAGCCCCATCATGAAATCAAACAAGTCAGGTGTCAGGTTTATTATGGTTTATTATTTCTAATGATAAGGGTATTTACGTCTTTTTATATCCCGTTCCATATTTTTAAGTGAGACTAAAAGATGGTAATTTTATTAGACTTACCATGACTCCAGCACGAACCACAAGCTTATAAGGGACATTGTTGACATCAATACAGTAAAATTTTACTCTGTTTTTTTTCACAAAAAGACATAAATATCAGAAATATGAGGCCAAAATTTCAGAGAAAGAAATACTTGAGTAAAAAGGTGTGTACTTTACCTTGGGTGATAATCAGCTGCTAGTTTTTCCAATTTTGGTTTCAAGTATATGCATTTTCTACACCATTTTGCCATCCTACAAATCATTCAACTTAAAGCTTCTTCAACAATCAATATGGTTAATGAACAGAAATCTTTGGAAATACAATGAAATGGTTCCAGAGATTAAGAAGGGTTGATGAAATTGGATTTGTAATGATCATTGATGGTGGAAGTAACTTTATCAAACTTGAATTCATTTGGGTAGTTCGAAACAGAAAACAAATGTTGGCATTTTATTTGGTACAGATTGTCAGAATCATAAAGAAAAAAATAGTTCATGCAATTACAGGAACAGTGAAGAGAAATAAACTCGATTCAAAGCAATAAACATACCATAAAATCACGACAGATTCTTCGAGCTGTTCAGCCTCAGCAATCATGCGATCGAATTGGGTTTCATTTAAGATAGGTTTCAGCTCGATTGAAACAGGGGAAGAAGTATCAAGGCCTTGAATCGATCCTTGTTGACTCGAATTAGTTATCGCTTTCACACGTCCTCCATCTACATTACCTTGTCTCTTCAAACTATCACATAAATCTGAAACGAATCTCGATCCGCAACTTGAAAATACAACACGAGTAGATGGAAGATATGGTGATTTTAGTGATTGAAGAGGTGAAATTGCTACTAATCGTGCAGCGTCGGACATGGATGCGATTATAGATCCCAAATTTTATGCGGAAGAGAAACCAGTTTGGGAGGGAGGGGCGGCTTGGAGTTATTGTTGACGGAGTTGTGGAGGAAGACGGTGTAGAATAGTGGACCTGCGGCGCAATTTAGTATTTGTTTATATTGGTGGGTACCCGCTTCCGGGGTTGGTAGTTCCAAATAAAACCTAACGAATAAAACTAGGTGACACAAATGTATATTTCAAAAAAAAAAATTAATAATTAAAATAAAATTATGTTTGTCTTTTCAACAAATAGTAAAAAATCAGCTAAATCATCAAAATTGATACAAATTTTCTGGTAAAAAAATTATTAAATAAAATAAAATTATGTTTGTCTTTTCAACAAATAGTAAAAATTTAGCTAAATCATCAAAATTGATATAAATTTTTTGGTAAATTATATACCGTCCCTTAAATCCATAAAAGGTGCAAGTTACGTCCCTTGCAGACATAAAATGATTATCTTGCATTTTTTTTTTTCTTTCTTCATTTATATTTCAAATGTTTAGAACTTATCTATTATTTTTTATTAATTATAATTTTCAGAAAAGAAAACATCCCCTTAAATTGGTTCCAAGTTCCAACCCCTTTGGCCATAAACCACCTTCAACTACAGTTACTTCCGGCCGCCAACCACCTGCCACCTTCGGCCACCATCTATTGCCACCGGAAACCACCGTTTCTATCCATCTCTTTCTCTCTCATACACATCTCTCTCTCTATCTCTATCTATCTATCTATCTCTCTCTCTCTCCCCTTTAAAGTCGGGTACCTTCACATATCACCGCCAACACCTCTTGAACCACCACCAGTTGACTACGTTGAATCGTCAACCCTCAGATCGGAAGATTGGAACCCTAAGATGATGAAGGCAACGACGTTTGAAACCATGAGACGATGACCTCCGTTGAAAACCTTTGTCTCCCGATTTGTGAGTCCAACGAATAGGTGGTGACGATGACAAATGTTTTCAGTCAAACAGGTGTAGATCTGAGATAATGTAGATCTAATGTAACACCCGTTTAAGATATGTATTTTACTTTGAATTTTGAGGATTTTTGGTGTCCACGGTGTGACATTCTTTAGGAAATGCATGTTTTCATTAAAGGTGCCACGACGTGGCAACATGATTGCCACGACGTGGTGATGGCTGACGAGAAATAGAAAATTTATGGGCTGAAGGACCTATTTTAAGGAAGTGGTGGCTAGGGTTTCCCTCACCCTCAACCTCCATCACCTCCTATAGTGTTCTTGAGCAACCCTATCCCCCTTGCAAGTTTAAAGCTCATTTTGGTGTCTTTGGTGCACTTTGCAGGAAGAAGAAGAAGGTGTTGGTGCAAGGATCCAACAAGTCACTCTTGTTTATCATTGGAATTTCTCTTTGGGCCATTTGTAAGTCCTCAAGTTTCCAACTTGATGATTCATTTCTTGTAGATCTAGTCTTCTTAGCAAGTTTTGGTTTATAAATGAAGTTTTGAAGGATAGGATGAGATAAAGTCTGCAACTTTATGAATCATCTAGGTCCCTTGATGTAACAATTGGTAATTTTAGGTCAAAAAAATGTCGACCAAACCACCGCAATAAATTGTTATATTATGAACTAAGGAATAATATGATGGAATGGAAAAGTATATATATGACGCTAAAATTTATAATCACTTATCCCAACTTACTAAAAATCTTGTCTAACGATTAGAAAATTAACGAATATGGTAATATGACACGTGAAGTGAGGATTAATTTTGAGTGGGTTAAACAACACTAATGTGACGCTACTAACCACTTGCTTAATTAAATCACCTTCATTTGTTTAGAATGATTTATCTTCATTAACATACATGGTGCCATACATATAATATTAATCCTATATATAACTATTCTCCATAAAAGACTCGAGACAACTTTCCACAATTGAAGGAAATGATCCAAATGATAGGAAAGGCAATTATGAGAATATTGAATTGTGCACAGCCCTCTATTCATTCCACACGTTTCCATCTCCCTCTATAGTCAAATCATACATGGAAGCATAGTTGAATTATGACAACACTATTCTAATAATCAGAAGATATAAAAAATGGGTTTTGTCCTCAAATATGACACCCATTAAGGAAGAGTAGTGTCCAACGTCACCTTCCTTACATAGTACAATCATTACCCCCCATGCACACTCTTTTACACCACATGAGGGAAACAAACCCATACACTCCAAAAGTAAATAAATAGCCAAGGTTTTCGCTCAATTGTTGCAGCCATAACTCACGTAAAAACTCCTTCACTCCCTGCATAATTTTTGTTTCAAACTCAACCCCAAAATATCTCTCTTGGAAGTGTTCAACTTACGATTTCTAGCAAACAAAGAAGAGGTAGGAGCCTCAACTTCCTTCTTTGTTATCGGTTTGTGGACTGTCACGAGAAGCTTTCCAAAAACAAACTAATCTCGAGCTTAGATCACGCAACAAAAGTGAGTCTTTATGGCCCCATTTTCTTTATGTTTTATAAACATTTGGGGGGAGATACATACATGTCTTGCATGCTAAATATGAAATTTTATTATCATTATATGATACATATTTAACATTATTTATAATGGGTTAGCACATGACACTTTAGTTATATTGAACTAACATGCAAATGAATCTATGAAATGGTTACATGCATTATAAACAAATTTTCATATTATATTATGACGTAATAAAAAATTCGTATAAAGTTATTATTCGTAGATATAAATATATGTATTGGTATTATCTTCGTGACATAAGTCCATGCAAGTATTTTTGGTTGATAATCAAAACTAACCATTAGTGTTAGAATGGTCATTAATAAAATAAACCAATAAATTATAGACTTAGGACCTACTCTGTTAATTTATTTACAAAAAAGGTCTAAAGTGTAAATATTATATGAGATAACTAGACTTATAGTTACATAAGTGTTCCATTGGATTTATGTTATAAAACATGGTTATTTTTATATAAAATTGTTATTTTATATAAAAATAGAGTTTATAAAAAGACCTTGTAATATTTTATAAAATAACTAGTTTTTATAAAATATGATTATTTTTATGTAAAATTGATGTTTTATAGAGTTTATAAAAGGATCTTGAAACATTTTATAAAATAAGTATTTTTTTTTAAAATATGATTATTTTTATATAAATTTGATATTTTATATAAAAATGGAGTTTATAAAAGGATCTTATAACATTTTATAAAAATAAGTAGTTTTTATGAAATATGATTATTTTTATATAAAATTGCTATTTTATATAAAAATGGAGTTTATAAAAAGACCTTGTAACATTTTATAAAATAACTAGTTTTTATAAAATATGATAATTTTTATATAAAAATGATATTTTATATAAAAAGAAAACTTATGAAAAGGCTATTAACGTTTCAAGAAAACAAAGAATTGAAGTAATATTTCAATGCCTTCAATGATATATACATACATATTTACATACTCTTAAAAATATAGGTATAATAGTGTATATACAACTATATATCCGAATGTGACGACAAAGAAATGCAAATATTGTTAAGGCTCGGAATACAAATGACGACAAAAATCCTAGACTTAACAATTTAAGGATATTCTGTATGAGAAACACTTCATCGCTAAGAACTCAAAAACTTAGTATAAAGCCCTTTGTGCTATAACCGTTAATCCGAAAGGAACGTGGAACATTGGTATAGATCTATACGGGTTCACAGCCCCGCCTGCGGTTGCTAGCTACAACCATCGTCTGACGAGTCAAAACGGGCGTAATCGTTCAGTCACTTATATATTTCTCAACGTCGATGAAGCGTTGTGATGGTTACAGTACATCTGCTCACCGTATTGCTTTACAGAGGCTTGCACGTCCATAGTTTGGTTATAGGCTCATACTAGAACCCATAAATTTTAATCTAGAAGTTTTATCGTTAAAAAGGAACTTTTGAACAAAATGGATAAGTGTTGATAACATTATTTTATATAATTCGTATTTATAATATTTTCAATAGGATACTCTCGACTCATGATTTTTTGGTTATGAACAATGAACCAAACTATTTTACTTGTATGGGATTACAAGTGCGGATTAAATACATATTTATAATCTTAAAAGGTCACAAATGTATTTTTGATTATAAACCATTGAAGTCTAAACCTATAAAGTTCACCAACATTTTTGTTGACGTATTTTTAAAACGTATGTATCTTCAGGAACTTAAAAGTTGGAAGAACGCCTACAGGGTAAGGATAATATTTCTCCTTAAATAAACTATTGACCGAGTAATCGGTCCACTTGTTATATGCTTTATAGAACTTGAATTATGTATTAGTCGTCGTTTGGGATTTACTAAACAATGTATTTCTTCTTTTTCATACTTTGGAAGAATGTAATGTTATTTGAATCCTGTAATATTCGATATATGTTGTTAACTATGAACCAATGTTTCACGTCGCAACTCCGGTGATTCCGCCACCGGTCGGGGTGTGACATATTGGTATCAGAGCTAAACGACTATAGTGAATAGTACTTTCCTTAGGAGAGCACAACTATAGTCTAAGGGCTTACTCTTATTGGTCTAGTCATTCTTAAACGTAAACTCCTTAGGTCTATCCCTATCGATCTATAACACTTAATAGTTAGGTCCTTAGGTGTATCCCTAGATTTACTCCAATAAATCTACAAAGAGTAAGTATTATTAATTACACCTCCCAAAATAAACAAAGGGTAATTTATAATACACACACAAATACAATATATCGAGTTATATAAAAACTCGGTTCCTCGATGAGAAAACACTAATACAAGATAAGAAAAATACAAGGAATTAAAAATCAAATATTCAACTAGGTTCCTTAGTACATGCGTCGTACCACAACTAAACCTAGTTGCGCGCCTAAGTTTTATTATGGTCAGATTTATGCACTACCTAACCTAAGCGAAATAGTTGATTTGTTAAAAATTTTGTAAAAATCTAGGTTAAAACTTTCCTTAAAAACAAATACTAATAAAACCTTAAATCTCGATAACCCCAGTAACTGAAAATCAAATCAATGATGCTCCACCACCTCCACCTCTGATGATGGGACTTCCGCAAATAGTGGCTGAATTGGAGC